TGCATAAATGTTTTTGTCAAGCTTCGCTGAAATAGTTGAACCATGAAATTTACAATGGATGCAAAGCAGTGACTTGTTAGACAGGACCTACCTAATAATCGGCATGCTAGTGTTAAAAGACTAGAATCCCTTGCAAAAGACGCCAATGGTTATGTTGATAAAGTTATAGAGAGTTACAGGAGGAAAGTGTGTGATAAGAAATATACGATACAAGACAAGCTACTTTGAAGATATCAAAGAAACGTATACTAAGATGCTGTCAGATATGTGACCATCATGTTTTATACATCTTATAAAGCACCAACAATAAAATAACAGGTTTCATAAATATTTGCATGGCTAGTTTAGGTCTTTGGTGACTTGATAATTCTGTGATTTATATGAGGTTGACAATGAAAGCAGAGATAATTTTTAAGATCACCCCTATGATCCAAGAAGGGAAGTGCAGATCACTGACAGTATTCATACAGGAATTTCTCTGGAGTACCCCTAGCTGTTGCCTGAAACGCAAAATGATTCCTAAGGGAATGAGTGGACTAGTCCAAGGATATTGCACCAGCTAAGAGAACACAAACTTTGGAATTCTGTAGGATGGAGATCATTATAGTTACCTCAGAGGTTTATTATGTAGATAAAAAAAAAAAAAACATATACTAAGTTAGCCCAGCACAATACCTAGCAATAAAAAAAGACAAGGAGGCAACTTGGATGCTATTGTAAGGGGAAAGAAGCTAGCCTGGAGAGAACATATACATAGTGATGGCTCCAAATATACAGCATTTGAGAAAACACAAAGCCTGGGTTGGGCATGTGGAGGAAGGAAGGGAGATAGATAGAGCACGTGGAAACTTTAGGGCAGTGAAGTTATTCTCTAGAATGCTGTAATACTGAATGTACAATGTGAAAACCATAGAAGCCTACAACACAGAGTGAATGCTAATGAACTTCGGTACATAGTAGCATATTAATCCTGAGCTGTCAACGGTAACACATATTCCACATAACTGTGGGATGTTAACAATAGGTCTACTAGTTTCTCAGGACTGCTGCAACAAAGTACCACAAAGGGGGTGGCTTGAAACAATACTAATGTTTGAAGTCAAGGCCATGATTTCTCTGACACTATTAAGTATAACTTTTCTTTTTTAATATTTTTTGAGATAGGGTCTCACTAGGCAGTTCAGGCTGGCCTTAGCTCACTATGTAGCCCAAGCTGGCCTCAAATTCACAGTGAACCTCCTGCCTCAGCCTCCCACGTACTGGGAATACAGACCTGTGCCACCATGCCCGGTTTCAGTATCTTTTCTTGAAAGGAATTAGAGTTTAACCCAAATGAAGGATACAGTGTGGGTGAGGGCAGGAGAAAGGGAGTGTATATTTGTGCTTCCTGTACAGTTTTTTTTTTTTCTGCTCTGGGAAATAAAGTCTATCAATCAAAAAATTTCAAGGGATTTAAAAAATGACCTACCATATAGTACACAAGTTATTACTTGCTTTTGTAGACTTCATTAACTTCTCCAGTGTTTTATTCTTGACTCACACTGACAATATCCCCCAAATCCCAAGGGCTTTCCCACCCCTCCACTCACTGTTTGGTTTATGATTGATTTGGAAATATATAGGATTTAACTCTCACCCAAAGACCTTATCCCCTCATAATCAAGAGCTGAATTTGAAAGAAACCTGCTCAGAATTTCTCCTGCTTTGACTTCATTTACACATGTGTGCATGGATGTGCAAACACACAAACACACACACACACACAAACACGATCTCCAAAGTCCCACCATCCCTGACCCAAATAAATGCAGACACAAACTAATTTTCCTTATTAAGGAGTCACAGGACATATCTATAGTGAGGGTGCTGTACCCATCCAAGGAAAATGACAAAAACCTTGTGACTATCAAACGTTAACAGTAGATTTCCTAGGAGGAGGGGAGACACAAAAGCAAAAAGTAGAATCAGAGAAAGAAAACAACAAAAACAAAGAGCAGAAGAAATACCAGTAAGTATTCTACTCTTAGGAAGCAGAAAGAAAAAAGCTCAAGAAGAGGGAAGGGAAGGCAATCCAGGGCTACAGGTGCTGGCCAGGCGTGAGGCCACACCTCCTGTCACATCCTGCCACCCACCTGGGCCACAAGCTCTGTAGCATCTTTATCAAAAGGAAAACCCATGTGTTAAGTGAATGAAATGACACTAACTTGTCCCTTAATTAGAGTAGAAGTATCCTATTTTAAGAAAAGCCAGTGATGAGAAACCATGTTGGAAATACAGATATATGAACTAGTTTTTCCCCTTACAAAAGGAGTCACATCAGAGTTCTTTCAATAGCCTGCTTACAATCCCCCAAACACACACAAATTTAGACTTTCATACAAGTTTCCAAGAATGTATCTGCTGCATTCCTCCTGTTGCTCTTTCATGCTACTCTGCACTGTTACACCGAGTGCTTCATGCATGGTTTACAGAACCCCTCTGCCTTCACATGGCATCTTTTCATTGGCTGAGAATCTGTTTCCTAAACAATGATGCTGCAAAGAATCCAGCACTCACTGAGGAGGGGAGAAAATGAGAGATTACTGGCTGGAGACATGGAAGCTGTTGTTCCCAAAAGTGTGTGTGGGGCTGACATTTGTTCTACCCAGACAGGGCTCCTCTTATACAGCAACCACACCAGAGATGGTCAGAAAGACTTTGATGTAAGGGTGCAAGGCTTAAGAAAAACCTCCAGTCCCATGCTGTGGAGAGTCCCACCAAGAGCTGTTTTCACAAACACACACGCACACACACACACACACACACACACACACACACACTTCCTTTGCACAGCACACACATACCCCAACCAAATTGTGCCACACTGTGTGCTTCTGCTCTCTCTGTCACCCAGAGTTCTCCCTTGAGTATTTTCACAGCCCCCCCCCAGCTCCCCTTTGTACATTCTGCAACATTCACATGGTAGTAGTTTTTCTGTGGTTAACATTAATGAAAAAAAAGTACCCACGTAAGTAATAAAAGGTGACAAGGAGGAGGAGGAAATGGGTAGGAAGAAAAGAATTTGCGTAGAGAAAAAGCCAGTGAAGACAGTCAGCCAAAGTGACCTCACGATGCTTGTCATGGTGCTTCCCTTCAGTGATCCAGGATGCCGCCCCTGCAAACCAGGAGCCTCTTGAGCTGTTTCTCCATGGTACTTCCCACACAGGCACAGGTGTGGCACTGTGGCTGATCAGTGGCCAGAACAGCCTCTTTCTGTGATCAGCCAGGAGCAGCAACCACAGGCTCCAAGGATACCCTCCTCGCCACTCAGATAAATCAAAAAAGTCAAATCGTTTCTTTACAGACTTCGTTCTTGAACTTCGGCATGCTATTGCTGTGGTTATTCAAGAGGTGACAATCCAGCAAAAGACTACATTATTGGAGGAAGAAGAGCCCCTCTCTCACCGTACAAAACATTTGCACCCAAGTTTCTATCCTGCTTCCCACTGCTCTGGCTCACACACTTGACCTGAGGCTGGGACACACAGCCTTCCCAAGGAGACCTTCAGATCACCTGTTTTCATTCTAACAATTACAGAAAGTTCAGACTAGAAATTTTAGAGAAATTTATTAATGGTTGATAAAATGTTTTTAAAAAGTTGTTTTCTTCATCACAGCAAAGTCTTAAGAAGTACTACTCCTTGTCTAAGTGAGATAGAACAACAGATTGAATTCAGTTTTAAAAGCCAAACAAAAATCAAAATCTGAATTTCTAGAGATTTATGAGTAATTTAAATAATGCCCTAGAGAATAAGAAAAAGGGAAATATTCCAAATGTTATATAGCTTTGTTTTTTGTTGACTGAGGTTTTATTTTTGTTTTTGTGAGCTTTATTTAAGAGGAGGCCAAAATCCTTGAAAAGAAAAGAATTTGTCAATTTATTTAGGGAGATTCCTGACCTTGGCTTCAAAATTGAAAGTTTGCTCTTTGTTTCTCCAAAGAGGCCCCCAGGTGATGGCTTAAGGCTTCCACTGGGCTGATCTCTCACGCAGGGCTCAGGGCTCACTGAGTGTGCACAGAAAGAGCTGGAAAATATTTTTGTGATCTGAGGCCACAGAGCTGAGGATTCCAGAGGAAGCGGAGGCCTCCCGCTCCACACAGGAAACAGTCTTCAAGCAGGCCTTAAATGCCAGATTCCAGGCCGAGTTTAACTAACCACTGACAGCTCTGTAAACAAAGCAAGGACAAAAAGAGCCCGCTTCCCCTTTCCTGGTAGTCATTTTGGGTTTGGGGGCTGCAGGGAAATTCTGGAATCCTTGACTCCATGGCACAGAAACACAGGGGAAGCAGGCTCCTTCTTTGAAGAGCTGGAAAGAGAAGATCTTTCCAGAATTAAAGCCATCACAGAGGAGGTAGGAAAGGGTAAAATGGTTGGATTCCATCTCTAGAGAAAGCCGGGATTTTTGAGTGTAAGCACTACGTAAAGTGCTGTTTAAAAAAGTGCTGCCTCATGTTTACTGGTGGCATTTCCGCTACAGCCTTTATTAAAATCCGGACGCTGACACTCTTTTAGGGTACACAAATGATGCCTAGATGCTGTATTATTTTCTCTTACTTTTTTTTTTCCTCTTCTGTTTTTTTCTCTTTCTTTTTGGTAACTTTTGTCTGGGGTTCAGCAAGTTACAAAGAACAAAATTATTCAGTAGCTCTCATGTCATTCTACCAATATTTTAAGTCTTTAAAACATATCTGTCTCCTGAGGCCTTTTATATCTTTTATAAATGTAATCCTGGGATTTTATGCTTTTGTCTCTAATAATTTCAGGAATGATACTGAATTAATTGAATTTAGTCTGGGAGTCAAAAGTTGATCGCTGTCTACCTTATCGGTCTGCTGAGACATTTTCCTAAGAGTAGAGAGAGAGAGGAGAGGGAAGATGAAGAAATAAATCGATGCCCGAGAGAGAACAGTGTAACTCAGAGAAGCTGATACTAACGCCATCTCTTCCCCGTTCCATCTAGACATTGCCTGGTCTCCTTAAACCTGACACCTCACCATGGATGATTTTGAACGTCGCAGAGAACTCAGGAGACAAAAGAGGGAGGAGATGCGGTTGGAAGCAGAAAGGTAGGGAGCGGAAATGGACAGATCCTTGTGTTTCGTTGTTAACAATGTTGGTCCCAGGCCTCAAAGACTGTTCCCACTCGTGGGCCAAGCTGGACCACACTGCATATCAAACTGTGTTGAAAAGAAGTAATGGAAAGTTCCTCTAACATTAAGACTTTAAATTTTTCATTTAAAAACAAAGGAAAACAAACACGTATGAAAAACGAGAGAGAGCTTGGAGAAGAATCACACAGTTGCATTTAATCTGTGATTTTTGTGGTTGAATTTTTAATGATACGGGCAATGTGTAAATAAAGGTTTCAAAAGTTAATAATATTCAAATTACAGAAAAATGTCAAATATTGAACATTGAGACCATTTAGGGAATGAGTCTTTAATCTTAAAAAAAGAAAGCAAGAAGTCCCAGAGGAATTCTGTGACAAGTGTTTATTCTATAGAAAAGCACCCCAAGCCCAGGGATCGATGTAGGAGAAGTTAATTTCCAGTGGGCCTGGCCACCGTGTAGACTGTGTTGCTGTAAACTGTCATGCTGTGGGAAACCACTGGGGCAATGACCTTGGAAACAGGGTATGGAAATAAAGTATTAGCATATAAAATATAGGGCACATTTTTAAGCCAAAAATGAACAACAGTGGCATTTAATGTGGCTTAAATCAGATGTACTTTGAGAAAGCAAATCAGACATTCACAGGAAAAAATCTATTAAATGATGTTCTTAAAAGCAAATCAGTTTACTTCCTGGTTATCCCAATATACAGACGAAAGACAGCAAGATGATCCTTCCATGATCCTACAATAGTAAATTGAAAACTTGCACCAACAGAAGTATCAGGACCAGTGTCCCATTTATTTGTAAAAGAGCGATAAAGAAAGATAACATTCTTACCTTAGATTAGATTTGATTATGCAAATACACAGGGTACCACGAACACCACAGTGTGCTCTGTAGAATCAAACCCTAGCTATGCCACTTACAAGCTCTATAGTCATGAGCAGGTGACCTCTGTATAAACCACAGCTGCCTCATCCGTGTAGCACAAAAGCTACATAGCTTGTACGCTTGTCTTAAAGATTACTGAACATCGTAAGTACCCTTGCCCAGTACCTGGTACATTGTATCCATAAATGGCAGCCATTATAGTCAGTATTATTAGTTACCATTATCACTAGCTAAACAAGGTTTTTTTTTTTTTTGTCTTTTTCGTTTTTATCGGTACCAGGGATCGAACTCGCGAATGCCTGCTTGCAAGGCAGGTGCTTATGCCGCTGAGCTAAATCCCCAGCCCCAACAAGGTTTTTTTTTTAAAAAGCTAGTAAGGTAGCAGGAACTAAATATTAACACCAAGAGAAAGAGAGAAGTCCTTCAGTGAAACTAGTCAGAAAGGGATTTTTGGAAGGGTAAGCCATGGAAAGAAATGGTGATGACAAAGCATAGAGGGGGGCAGTCTAGGTGCAGGATTGACCTCGGCAAAAACTCAGAAGTGGAAATACAAATCTTGGTGCAAGACACCTGTTTAATGTTTGAGGGGAAAAAGGTTGATCTTACCCACCTTAGGTGTTTCTATAATAGGAATACAAACAGACGTAGCAAGTGAGCGGTGTGTGATGAAATGTGTGAGAGAAAGTCGGCTGCAGTGGGCTGGAATGTGGATGCTGGCACCGGAAGGGTTAGTATTGTAAATACAGTCCGAGTCAGGGAATGGGCTATGGAAATGCAGAGATCACATGCGTGAGTCTTTATAGAAGGAGAATTAGCAAGCTTTTCCAGAAAGGGGAAAACTCAGACAATTCCAGAGATGATAAGTCTAAGAAACTGGAGAGAAGGTCTCTACTTTGCCCCTTTCTTGAGTGGTCATGGGAATAATATCTCCTTTCAGGTAAAAAGCACATCTAAATGAAGACTTCCTCCAAGTGGTTGGAGATAGAAAATTTCAGTCTTTGTTCAGAAAAGAAGAAAAATTATTATTAGAAAAGTACATTTGGGCAAACTCATATGATGGGGATGGTATAAAAGCTGAGATGATGATATTCCTAAGGAATCAAGTATGCAAAGAATGAGAGATCCTAAAGACATAACAGATACTGTCAAACGGACAAACTGTCAGAGATGGGGGAGAACCGGGGAAAGAAGTGGACATCAAAGGTTCATAGAGTGTCCAGGCAGTCCCAATGGAACAGCTTCTTATTCTTTCCAATCTGTTATTTGGCTTCAGGATTCCCTGAGAATCTGCAAAATACCATCTTTAAGCAATATTTATTAAACTGGGTATTCAGCTTAGCAGCACAGTGCCAGCCTGGCAAGCATAAGGTCCTGAGTTCAATTCCCATTACAAAGAAATATTTGTTAAGCACCAAATAGTTTCCAGGGTCTGTACTTGGAGGTGGGGAAATAATGCTTATAAATAAATAAACATGGTTTCTGGCTTGATGGATTTCAGGTCATGGCAGTAAACCAGAGTTGAGTAGGATCAGAAAATCCAAGTGCAGGGTCAGATCTAGCAGAGGTGAAGCTAGGACTTAGAAAGGAGCATTGGATATTAGACATCCTGTTAGATTCATACCGTCAGCTTCTTTGCTTTCTGCATCAGTGGAAGGCAATCAGTGTGAAAAGCATAAAATGAACTTTCTGTGGTTAGAGCAACACTGTCATGAAACTAGGTAAGCTAAGGATTTTCAGATCCAGGACTTTGCTAAGAGTTGACCACACAGCTACTGTACTTGATTAATTCTTCTATTATAGTTGTCTGTATGTGTGTACATCTATAAGAATTTATTTTTCTTTAATGACAGTCTTAAAGGGAATTTACACAGTAAAGTTTAGGGAGTTATCTCTCATAATCAAAAAATAATTTGCCCAAATCCATATTTTACTTATGATTCTTTGTTTATCATTTCTTTTGGTAGATCATGTCCCATAGTCTCTCTCTCTCTCTCTTTCTCTCTCTCTCTCTCTCTCTCTCTCTCTCTCTCTCTCTCTCCCTGTCTCTCTACTTGTACTAAGCTTGCCTTTTCGTGTTTCAAGGGAACCTTCCAGTCCTGTTATTCTAGGATTTTATAAATCCATGTTCATTCTCCAGGACCTTGTAAAATTTAATTATTTATTTGAAGGTAAGGCCTTAAAATCTAGCCAATTTTAGTGTCCAAGAAACAGATACCCAGAACCAGAACTCAATGACTGTTCTAAAGTCATGGTTCTGATCTGAAGACAAAGGCCATACATGACTCTGGACAAGTCTTTGTTCCTCTGGCTCTAGCCTTGACCTCATGGATATTTTCTCAGGAGGATTACAAACATTCTTATTTTCCTTGTGCTTTTGCTATTGTCTAATTTTTCTTTGCATTGATATTATATTACTTGATTTAAAGTCAATTAAATAATACAACGATTTTTTCATAGGAAAAATAAGTGTGTGACCCTTCACAGTGTGTACATAGGGCCAGACTGTGGAAGGCCTAAAATAAAAGGAAAAAGTGGTTCCAAGTCCTGGAATGGCAGTGTGGCAAGTTAGCCAAAATAATTATGTCAGGGATAGGAATACTCCTGGGATGGGGATGAACCTTACAAAAGGGTCATTTTGTATCCAGCTCCCTTCCTACTCAGGAAGTACAAAGAGACAATGTCAGGCCCTTTATATATATCTCTAGGCACCAGGCACCAGGAATGGCACCAGGAATGGATATGTCTGAATGAAATATACACCTTTTATACACATGAAGGAACACAAAGAAGTGGAATGGTCAGAGACAGTATCACTTAACAGTTATAGACACAGGCTTTGGGGTCAAATCCCAGGTCTGCTACTTGTTAGCTACCTGATCTTACACATTTCCTTCTTTGAAATCTTCTGTTTCCTGTCGTGTAAAGAGGTAGAAATGAAAGTGCCTTTTTGTGGGGACTTAAAGGGATAATACACGAAAGCATCAACACTATAAACATTCGGGGAGCATCACTATTAAATGTTATTAATTTGATTCTCTGCAACACAAACACAAAATAACAAATATGAAAGTTTTTGTTTGTACATCTCAGTGGATATGAGAACCCTGGGCAAGATGAGAAGAACTCGCTGCTAAGTAAAGAGTTCTGGGTGTGTGTAACCAGTCACAGGTCTGAAGTAGGACCTGCAGACTCAGCCAGAAGTGGTAATGACAATTCCAGCTGGTTTTTTAAAGTAGGCCAAAAAGACTTTGATCTTTGGTTTATCTACTAAGAAATCTGCAGCAACATTTTTATCCGTGAGAAAATCTTTAGTGGACTACCTCGCCCAGTATTAGGCTTGTTCTCAAGCAAGAACAAGGAGGAGCTATCTCCATTTTCAAGTCTTAAACTCATTACGTTCTTAGCACACGCGTTCCACACCCAACCCCATCTCCATTTTCTGATTAGAAAAAAGGCCCCTATTGGAGTCACATTATCAGATTCTGAGTCCCACAGACATGCATAAAGGAAAGAAAACATTGCTCTTGCCATCATTCATACATTTTTATGGGCTTCTGAAATATCCTGATTAGACATTATAAAGTACATATTTTCACTGCACTAGAAAAACAAGCAATTTTTAAAAATTCGTCGAATCCATGAAATATCTTTCTAGAGCTTCCTTGACATTTGTACGTGACTTAATGGCATGGCCCGTCACCAATTACACAATACACATGCACACACAAAAACACTTAACTCACACACAAATTGCTTAAATCATGCCCTTGAGATTTCCAAATTAGAACTTTTTCAATGCAATTTTTATTATGTTAACATCAGAATGCTAGTTCCCATCAGGAAGGAAAATAAAATATTCCTCTGAAATTGCCTAACTCATTAAAATAGCTAGGTGTGCTCAAAACCTACTTCAGTTTTCTTAGAAAGTTGATTACTCCAGGGATTTGCATTTGTTAGCCAATCTTTTATTTAAAAGGAGTTTCTCAAATAATAAGCTTTGAAGAAATTTCAGAAGATTTCTGTAAGGTTCTTACATCTGTTCAGTATTATTTAGGTTCAG